CTTCATGTCTTTGGCCTCGCTTCTGGGCTGCAAACCAACTTCGAAAAGTGTTCGGCCACTCCCATCCAATGCACTGACGATCACATTGCTACGATAGCCGCGGAGATGCAGTGCCCCGTCACTCACTTCCCCATCACCTACCTCGGGCTGCCCCTTGATAACCCACAAGTATAGGGGATAATTGTAGCCTCTTTCGATAAGTAAGAGTGTCGAACCCAACGAGGAGATAAAGGTAGAACAAATATTCTCTCAAGTCCTATCTGCCACTAATACGACTCTACGCACGCTTAGCGTTCGCTTTACCTAGAACAAGTATGAAACTAGAAGTACTTTGTAGGTGTGTTGTTGGATAGGTTTGCAAGATAATAAAGAGCACGTAAATATAAACTAGGGGTTGTTTAGATAAAGAAGCAATAAAGTAAATATAGAGAGTGTGAAAAAGTGGTGGTAGGAGTTGTGAAATTGTCCCTAAGCAATTGACTACTTTACTAGACCGGTAATCACTATTGCAATTATATTTGAGGGAGAAGCATAAGCTAACATACTTTCTCTTCTTGGATCATATGCACTTATGATTGGAACTCTAGCAAGCATCCGCAACTACTAAAGATCATTAAGGTAAAACCCAACCATAGCATTAAAGTATCAAGTCCCCTTTATCCCATACGCAAACAACCTACTTACTCGGATATGTGCTTCTGTCACTCACGCCACCCACCATAAGCAAATCATGAACATATTGCAAACCCTACAGCGGGGATCCCTCACGCTTGCGCGACACAGAGAGCACCATAGGACAGCACCAATAATAAAACATGCAACTCAAACCAATCATAGCAATTCATCAATCACTGATAGGACAACGGAAATCTACTCAGACATCATAGGATGGCAACACATCATCGGATAATAATATGAAACATAAAGCACCATGTTCGAGTAGAGGGTACAGCGGGTTGCGGGAGAGTGGACCGCTGAATATAGATGGGGGAAGGTGATGGAGATGTTGGTGAAGATGGCGGCGGTGTTGGTGTAGATCGCGGTGATGATGATGGCCCCCGGCGGCGTTCCGGCGCCACCGGAAGCAAGGGGGAGAGAGACCCCCTTCTTCTTCTTCTTCATTGACCTTCTCCCTAGATGGGAGAAGGGTTTTCCCTCTGGTCCTTGGCTCCCATGGCGTGGGAGGGGCGGGAGCCCCTCCGAGATTGGATCTATCTCTCTGTCTCTCTCTGTTTCTACGTTCTGGTATTCTGCCCTGGCACCGTTTCTTTTATATCTGGAGATCCGTAACTCCAATTGGATTGAAACCTTCACCTAGATCTTTTCTCAAAAATTAGCTTTCTTGTGGCCAAAGTAGAGCATCAGCCGCCTTATGAGGGGCCCACGAGGGTGGGGGCGCGCCCACCTGGAGTGGGTGTGGGCCCCACCCTCGTGGCCACCTCGGGCACCGTCTCGCGTTGATTTTACTTCCCAAAAATCACAAATATTCCAAAATAATTCTCCGTCCGTTTTTTATCCCGTTTGGACTCTGTTTGATATGGGGTTTCTGCGAAACATAAAACATGCAATAGACAGGAACTGGCATTGGGCATTGGATCAATATGTTAGTCCCAAAAAATAGTATAAAAGGTTGCCAAAAGTATATGAAAGTTGTAGAATATTGGTATGGAACAATCAAAAATTATAGATACGACGGAGGCGTATCACCCCTCTCAGTCCGCAAGGTCTCTTCGACGAGCTTGCAAGCGATCATCGACAAACTTGGATGCAAGCTCTCCACATGGCGGGCATCTATGCTATCCAAGGGAGACCGCCTATCCCTTGTGTGGCATGTCCTAAGTGCCATCCCCACGCACTTCCTCACTGCCATTGCCTTCAACAGCACTGCCATCAAGAAGGTGAACCGGATCATCCGAGGATTTCTATGGGCAGGATCAAACAAGGCCAACGGTGGTCAGTGCCTCGTCAACTGGCAGCGTGTATGCTGGCCCATCTCTCTCGGTGGCCTCGGCATCCGAGATATTCAACGTACGGGCATCTCTCTCCGTGTTCGTTGGCTATGGCTGCAGCGTACCGACGCTTCTCGCCCTTGGAGCCACCTTCACATCCCCCACGACGCGGACGCGAGTGCAATTTTCAGAGCCTCCACGACTTGGCAGCTTGGTGCTGGAGATACTTGCAGGTTTTGGACCGACCACTGGATCGTTGGCAGGTCCGTGGCCGAGATCGCCCCACTCGTTCTCGCTCTAGTCCCAAGGCGTCTTTGGAAGGAGCGTTGCATGCGTGATGGCCTGCACCAGCGCTCTTGGGTGCAGGACATCCGAGGCGCGCTTGGGCCGGCGGCCATGGTGCAGTACGTCGAGCTATGGCACCTGGTGCGGCACACTAATCTCTCCAGCGAACCGGACATGCTACGTTGGCGATGGACTTCTTCCGCTACATACACTGCAAGTTCCTGCTACAAGGCTCTATTCATTGGAGCTTGTGAAGACCCTTTCTGGCAGCTCACTTGGCGACCTTGGGCTCCTCTCCGCGTCAAGTTTTTCTTATGGCTGGCCATGCAAGACCGCTGCTGGACCGCGGAGCGCCTGGCACGCCACGGACTGCCCCATGACGATGCATGCGCCCTTTGCGACCAAGAGGGGGAGATCATGCACCATCTCCTTGCCGGATGCTCTTTTCTCTCGCCAAATTTGGCACGAGATCCTCGGTTGGGCACGTGTGCCCATCGGCCTCCCCGCCCCTGACACGCCATTCCAGCTCTGGTGGAAATCCTCTCTCGACCTCGCGCCCGCTTCCATGCGCAAGGGTCTATCCTCCCTCATCATCCTCTCAACTTGGTGGATTTGAAAGCACCGCAACGCTTGCATTTTTGACGGAGCGACACCATCGATCACCTTCACCTCCGATACCATCAAGGACGAGGCGCGCCTATGGGCCAAGGCGGGCGCCACCGGACTACAAAACATTATCCCCGGTGCTTAGTCTCTAGTTTCGGTCGCGGGGCTGAGCATACCCCCATCTGTTGTGCTCCTTCGCTTGTACACCATGCCTAGTACGCACATGGCCTTGTAAGCGTTGTAACCCCATGCTTGTACTATTCTTCTATCAATACAAAGATACGCATCTTGCGTATTTGCGAAAAAATACACATGGACATGCGAGTAGCTAAACCACACCAGTTCCGGCCATGTCGCAGTTTTCTTATTTCTTCAGTTTGGGAGAGACGAGGGACAGAGGAAGAGACGGCGCGCGGGATAGTAGGTTGATCGGGATGGGAGTTAGTAGAATCACATCTCTTTCGCCTCAAATTTTACACGAACATGAAGGCGACAGAATGCGTTGGGACTTTCTCGTGCCTAGACAGCAAAGCATAGCTTGAGTAGTACTACTTCGCACTGCACGTGCGTGCCCGTCGGCGGACCCACCAGATCGCCGTCCATACCCATATCGTGGCTGTCCCCGTCGGGTGACGGCTGGCCCGATCTCCTCCCCGCGCGCCGAGTCGCCGGGGCAGCTAACCACTCGCCGTCACGCAAGTAAAGAGGCAACAGATCGAGGATTCATCCAACTCTTAGCTGCCAGCAGCAACTCGCCCACCACGTTCCCCCGTCACCCACATTGCAGTGCGCGTCGTCCTTGCCAGCCAAGCTGAGTAGCTACTCATATAGACATCAATCCACCATTTCCGGCTAGCTCGCCCGCCGAGGTCGACTGGCGAAGTGGCGATGGGGTCGACGAGGCTGGAGAAGGTGGTGTTCGCGCTGAACGGGCGGCGGTACGAGGTGGCCGGCGCCGACGTGCACCCCGGGACCACGCTGCTCGAGTTCATCCGCACCCGGACGCCATTCACCGGCACCAAGCTCGGCTGCGGCGAAGGTACGTATAGCTTAACAGTTAGTATAGGCTTAGAGGGCTTAGAGCACCCATGATGTATGCACTGCATGCTCTTAACAACAAATCTAGAACGAGTAATATGGATCGGAGGGAGCACGGCAAGCTCTTGATCCACCATTTTCTTGCTACCTCTATGAGCGTAGCGTACGAACAAGAACAATGCTAATCGCACCACGCGAAGCAGATCAACATCGCTCAAGCGTAGTAAGCACTGTCGGCCGTGTGTATGCTTGAGAGCACACGCCTGAAATATGTCTGATGTGTGATTTTGCGTCGACATGACATGCATGCGTTGTGGTCCGAGCGTACATCATTGATCTTGATGATCCAAAGACGTACTACGTGATCTACTTTCTTTTTTATTACGAGCACGAGCACGAGCACTGTCCTCCTCAACTCCCAGTGGTAGAAAGAAATTGGTGGTTTAGTCTGTTGGAGACGGACCGGCCGATCTAGCTAGTCTGACACCGACATCAAATGTCGGCGACGATATTTTATGCCTTTTTTGTGTGTGAGAGAGAGAGATGTCTATTTCGTTATGATTGCGCAACACAGTTCAATTTTGTACACTTAGAAGTTTGAAATATGTTGGGCTAAAGTGATCGTAACTTAGTTGGTCGTATTTGCTCCACGTCGACGAGGAATCTCCTTTTTCAAATGGAGAGAGGGTCAGAGGAAGAGACGGCGGTGGAATATCAGATAACGATTTATTTTTTTCCGAAGGAAAGCAGATAACGTTTTCTAGTGGGAGTCAAGATCGTATGCGTATCTCTTGCCGCTTCCATTTTGACAATCGAGGAAGGATTCTCCACCGTTTTTCTTTTGTTTGCTGCTGCCCACACAACTCGAGCAAGGAAGGATCGTTATCCACGCAGCAGAAAAAAATGTGGGGACATTTTCTTGTCCGAACAGCATTGCTTCGGCACCGCTCGCACTGCACGTGCACCTACCTACCGGATCACCGCCACGCCGCGCTGTCCGTCCCCGTCGGTGACGCTGGAGGCCACGCGGAGGCGTGTAGCCAGCATTCAACTCCCTCGCTATAGCGTAGCAGCAGCAACAGCTCGCCCACCACGTTCTCCATCACACACACACACACACAGATGCATCGCCGTGCACGCCCTAGCTGCTCATACATCTATCAACCATTTCTAGCCAGTCGACCGAGCGGTGGCAAAGTGGCGATGGGACCGGCGAGGCTGGAGAAGGTGGTGTTCGCGCTCAACGGGCAGCGGTATGAGGTGGCCGGCGGCGACGTCCACCCCGGTACCACGCTGCTGGAGTTCATCCGGACCCGGACGCCATTCACCGGCACCAAGCTCGGCTGTGGCGAAGGTGCGTACAGTTACGGGATCACAGCACGGAAGCTGCATGCTAGCTTAGCTCGCTCTTGATCCACCATTCTCTTGCTAGCTCTAGGAGCGTAGTACGAACGCTGCTAATCGCACCCCGCAAAGCAGACCACCATCGCTCAAGCGTTGTACTGTCGGTCGTGTGTCTGCACACCTGAATTATGCCTTGTGTGATTTTGCGTCGACATGCATGCATTGTGATCCGAGCGTACATCATTAATTTTGAAGTACGTTCTCTGTTTTTACAACCCCTCCGTCGTGTCGCAGATTTAATACAAAGTTGGGACGGAGGAAGTATTTAATTACGAGCGCGATCACTGTCGTCCTGAACTCACATTACAAGGAAATACGTAGGTGTTCCAGTCTGTTGGAGATCGGCCGATAGTCTGACACCGAGATCGTTATGTCGGCGAAGATGTTTTCATGTCTATTTCGGCATGATCGTTCAACATAATTCAATTTTGTAAACTTCGAACAAAATATGTTGGGCTAAAGTGACCGCAACCTTTAGTAGGTACTGACTGTAACACATATCACATCCAGATTCGAAGTATGCAATATGGTTGGTTGAGCTATAGTAGCTCGTTGCCCAAACTTTAGTTACATGTCTAATGATCTTTTACTCCACGGTCTGCAAAATGGCACACTAAGCTTGAGAAGCAAACAGTCGAATCACTATTCAAAATTTAACTCCATGCATCTACTCTCATAAACCATGTGTGGGCTCATGGTTGGTGTTCGGTCCTTCGGTACATCCAGCTGTGTTGTGCTCGGGTGTCGATCTAAGATCCAAAGAAATATTAGTTAAAAAGTTGCAAATTTGTAATTGCTCATGGTTTCACTTTCACCATAGATGCAAGTGATTCATCTAAACGATGTGCCTTTTTTTTAACGAATATAAATGCTTTGCCCGGTCTCACCAAATAAGAAGAATTTATAAAAATTACAGACTAGCTATCATACCGGCCATGGATCTGGTCTACTCTCGCAATATTATTAGTGCACTCATACCGGAATAATGATGTACCTTACATACCATGATTGCAAAAATGAAAAGGAATACCAACGGAAAACATAGACTTTGCATCAAGTGTCGAACTACCGGTCAATAGCTAAGCCGGTCGATCGGTGGTTATGATCATATTTGTAGTCACAGACTGACAGTGACCCTCCTTGGCGTTTCCATTTTGGCTATGGCTCACGATTCTACTTTCCAGTGTGGAACGGGCTTTCTCATCCGTCCTTTTTTTTTCTTTGAATGCAACTTTCTCATCCGTCCTTGTCACAGAGTCATAACCAGCACTGTTTCGTTTTATGCGAATACGAATTTGTTGTCAATCCTCCACAGTTGCATAGTTATTAGGTGGTTGATTGTTGGAAAGATGGCATGTCCCTTTCTCGTGGCATGCACGGATGATAATATATGTACATTATAGACAACATGTACAACAATAACATCACCATCTATAGACTAGATTTAATGTCCCCTTCCTCTCATTCTCTTATTTTCCGCTTTTCTTTCACATCACCAAAATTCCTATGCCGCAGTGCTTGCGGCGCCGCCATCTTCACTCGATGAGATCGAGGAAGAAGAGCGCTGCCGCAAGCCTTCAACCGTGAGGCCCACTTGAAGACACCAAATCCTTCTGTTGTAGTCGACCGCGCCGCCATCCAAAAGAACACCAGGAGCCAACCACCGAATACTAAGACTACCGGATCTGGAAACCGATGACACAACTGAGCCGACTGCTCCCCGGCGCCACAGATTGGAGCAATGCCAAGATGGTGGAAGAACAACAACACTTTATTCATACGAGACGTCTTCCCCGCCACTGAAGCAATGCCTTCAAGAAAACATACTCCTACCCTACCTACACAACGAAGCTGAAGCTTCGGGGTCCCCTCCTCCTCCCGTCGCCGAATCGGTGGACGGAGGAGGCAGGGAGCCGTGGTGGTGCTGATTGAGGAAGGGGTAGAACTGTCACCTCCGAAATCGCCTCTCTCTCTCTCTCTCTCTAACTTTTTTCTTAAAAAAATTGGGGGTTCCATAAAATATTCACAAATTTGTTTTTTAATTTAAAAATTCATTCCGAATTTTTAAAATATAGGAAACATTTTGAAATTAAAAATGATCCTTGTTCTAAAAATTACAAAAAAATTATGAATTTGATTTTTTTGAAAATTTTGAAAAATATTCGTAATTCATAAAAAATTCACAGATTTCGAAAAAATATTTGCCAATTTAAAATTGTTTGCAAATTCAAAAAATCTCATCTATTCAGCAGATGTAAATAGTTTAAAAAACATGAATTTCAATATTTTATTTAATATTTGAAAATGTTTACTAATTTAAAACATCTGCTCGGACTGAAAGAATATTCATGTATTTCAAAAACACAATCACGAATTTGAGTTTTCTTCTGAATTTTTAGAAAAATGCGCATGATTTTCGGATTTGATAAGAAGTTTGCGGATTTGTAGAAGGAAAATAAAAAAAAAAGAAGAAGAAAAGGAATAAATGAACAAAGAATGAAAAAAACATAAGAGAAATAGAGAAAAAACTGGTTCAGCAATGGTTCCAGGACCTTCCAACACCGGAGGGAAAAAAATCAAAATGGGCTGACTAGGACGGGGCGCACCCGAGGGGGAGGGGGATAAGCAGTAGGTCGCTATTTAGCATCCTACGCGCGAAATAGGATCACCTCCATGCGGGGATGTCAACGGATCAATGGTCGAGCTTGAAGTCCAATGCTAGGTGGGCAGGGAGGGTCAAACAAAAGGGGAATAGCCTATGGCTTGTTGGTCCAAGGCTCAAGAGTAAATATATAGCTTAAAATTTTCTAAATGATAGACCATGATATGGACTGACTCCAATGTAGCTCCGCCACTGCGTTGCGGTTGGCATTCATCTTCCTACCACCTAGTGCGACACGACTTGGAGCACCAACCCCATCGAGTGGGGCCATGCATTTTTGCACCTCGCCCGCTCCACCGGGACACTATATTCCTCGTCTAGCGTGATTCAACGTCTTCCACTCCACCAATTCCTTAGCTCAATGAGCATGTTAGAACTTACGAGAACCACGCCATTGAGCTCCTCCCCGTCTGACCTGCTATTGGTAGCGCCATTGGTAACGGCCCCTCCATCTCATAGGCTCAAAACCCTCAAAAGTTTTGTACATCCACAACTTACATTGAGCCAATGCAAGTATGTCCTACATTTAAGAGCAAGACCTAGTGAGTTACTGCCTCCATTTCAAAATAAGTGAAGTTCTAGTTTGTCCTAAGTCAAACATGTTTAAGCTTGACCAACTCTATAGAAAAATATGGCAAGATCTACAACACCAAATACACCAGTACGAAAATAATCTCTTGAGACTAATTTGGTGTTCTAGATGTTAATTTTTTTTTATAGACTTGGTCAAATTTAAACAAAGTTGACTTAGGTCAAATCCAGAACTTTAATTATTTTGAAATAGATATAGTATCTATTAAGCTAGGAGCATCTCCAGCCGCGCCCCCAACACGGCCTTCCCAGGCGATTTTTTCGCGTCAGCTCCGAAAAACGGTCCAGTCGCGCTCCTAGGAGCCCCTTTTTCGCAGGCTTGGGACGAAATCAGCGTCGGCGGACCCAGGCCGAACCCGGGGCACTGGGGGGGGGGGGGCGCCCAGGGGCGCCGGGGCGAGCGGTTTTGGCGCGAAAGAGCCGCAGGCCCGCCGAGTCAGCGAGACGGCCGCTTCGTCACCCTCATCACCTCGGTTCCCGCGGGAATCAATGCCAAGGCTGCCGCGCTGCCGCGCCGGTCAGCCTTGCCATTGATTCCTCATCACGGGCGGCGCGGCGACGCCTTCCCTCCCGCCACACGTACACACAGACGCGGCTATAAAGCCGATGGCCTCCCTCGCCTCTAGCCACACCAGCCCTAGCCGCCCATCGACCGCCGCCGAGCTCTCCCTCTCCCGTGCGCAGCCGCCGACGCTTCTTCCCTCCCTCTCCCTCTCTCCCAAGCCCGATGGCCGCGCGTTTCCCCGGTGACGCGGCGGCGGCCAACGGCGGCGGCCGCCGCTCGCTTCACGAGTGGGAGGCGTGGCTCATGTTCGAGGCGGACATCCCGGCGCCACCGGACATGCGCGTCGGGCCAACGGGGTGGAGACTCAGCAACGGGGGAGTGCCCATTCCCCCGGTGCCCGACGTCGAGGCATGCCCCGCCTTCTTCGCCGCCGACAACCACGCGGCGTGGGCGGCGTACTTCCAGTGCCGCCAGGAGCAGAGGCTGGCGTTCACCAATGGGGCGCCGGTGGTGGGCGGCATCAAGAACAACGAGGGGCGCCGCATGTGGTGGGGCGTCCTCGGCCGCACGCTCGACGGCGTGCTGGAGTACCTCAAGGGTGGCAACAACCTGCCGCTGGCATACCCTGTCGCGGCGGCCACCCCGGTCCATCGCCGGCGCGCCGGGCAATGGATGTCCAGGAGGTTCGGTTCCTCCTCGACTTCCTCCTCGCATTCCTCCTCCCGTTCTTCTTCCCACTCCTCCGCCTCGTCGGCGTTGCTCGGCGTCAAGGCCGAGCCCGCAGCGGAGACGCCGTTCAGCCGGCTCACTCGAAGCGCCGACATCGTCATAAACGAGGGCGGCTGACGCGCCTCCTCGTCGGCTCCTCCGCGCTTCGTCAAACCAAAGACGGAGCCGGGGCTCGCGACCGTGAAAACGGAGCCGGGGCTCCCCGCCTAGAAGACGGAGCACGGCGACAGGGAGCTCGACGAGGCGGCGGCCCTGAAATGGTCGCATGACGACTGGCTGAAGATGGAGATGGAGCGCCAGTGCCGCGCCCTGGAGCACTTCAAACAACGCCACCGGGGCCGCGACGAAGGAGGCCTCGTCGTCCTCGACGACAGCAACGACGACGACGCGCCGCCACCGGTCCGCCATGGCGACGCCAGGCAGGGGTCCAGCAGGGGCGGCCGCGTCAAGGAGGTGAAGGCCGCCGACGACGACGGCGGCGAGGATGGCGGCGACTACACCGCATTCAGCGACTACTTCGACCTGTAGTTGTAGTTTCGCCATTTTTTAGATAAATTTGCTATGTAAAATGTCGAACATGTCTAATATATGCCAAGTTTGTCGAATTTTAACCGAATTTAGCCAAACTTTGTCGAATGTTTATTTTTAACTTAAACGGCGTCTGGGGGCGGCCCTGGGGTCGGCGACTGGGAACCCACTCGCCCCCAGGCTGATCTTTTGCGCCGGCTCGCCCCAGACAGCGATTTTACGCGCCCCCTGGGGGGCCAACGTCTGGAGATGCTCTAAGGATGCAAAGTGACACTTTAACCACATAAGTGGTGGGTAGCATTTTGACATGATTGCATTTCGATCAACAAAGATGTAGGGAAAGCTATTCAAAATTCAGCTTGAATTTTTTTTTTTGTGTGCGTGTGGGAATTACACCAGCCCGATGAAATAGAGTATTTTTTTCTTTTTTTGCAGTGTAAAAAGAGTTTTGTTCCAATATTATGGTGTGATGAAATAGAGTTTTTTTTTTGTGGTGTAAAAAGAGTTTTATTCCAATATTATGCGTAAATTTGTCAGTGATGTTAATTTAGAAACAGACCGACCAACTATAGAGATATTTGACAAAATCGCAGGAATCTTTCAAAAGAGCCCCTCATACCTCTGGGAGTACAGACGGTAGCAAAAAATAAAATCCCAAATCGGCCCTCAAATCCCTAGTTCGGCTTTGCCGCCGCACGTCTCCCCCAAATCCGGCGTCATCTCCGTCGAGCCACCGTGTCGCCCCTTTCCGTCTCCCGTCCCGTCCTCGCTCCCCTCGCTCTCCCATCTCTTCCATTTCTCTGCCCGTGCCTCCCCTTCTGGCCCAAGCCATGGCAGGAGGCGATCTAGAGGGTGAAGCGACAGGAGGCGGCCTCACATGCCGCTGGCGCACCACATGTCCCGCGCGACAAGGGCGGTGAGGGTCTCTGCACCAGGACATCTGAGACATGGAGGAAAATTTCTGGATGATTTATACATATGCTTTGCTAAGCATCAATGTTTATTTTTAAACAAAAGTAGAACTTTCCCTACTTTATGTATTTCAAAACAGGCGTGAACCTGGAGACCATGTGGTACTTATGCGCTACACTGACTGTGCAGCTGTCCATAGCCAAGCCGGTTAGGGGAGAGATGATAGAGGTACATCAAATCAGAATAAAGACGCAGCCTATGTGTTCAGTTTGATTCTGTCCTGCTGTCGCTTCGCATGACTGCTCCATAGCCAAAGCAGGTTTCAGATTGATGTAGTGAGATGTAATGGTCAGTCCAATGGTTGTTGTCAAACACCCTGGCGTTTCGTGCATTCCACAGAGTTACTGCTAGCATCAATAGGTTTCACTTCTGAAATTGATTAGTTTCTAGGCTGATGCACTAAACTGAACACCCCAGGCAAGTTAATGTACAAACAGTGTGTTTTACTCATATGCAAACATCTGGTATGGCAGTATAAGGTCCATACCGCCCGTGGTTTGCGCATCGGCAATTCATCGTGTATACGTTTCCATCCGTATGATTCACTGCTGCCATTGTTTTTGTTTTCCTCGGAGTTCAGACTTTGGAATAATAATCCAAACCAAATTGGGATAAATAAGTAGCAGTGAATTTGGTTATATTAGTTCAGTTTTCACACAAGGCCTGGTTCTTTCCGTTCAGACTGTTCCTCCAGAGTCCAGTTCAATGTTATGTTTATTTTGTCCCGAGGCGGCGCGGATCTAGCATCGCATGAATAACTCTATCATTGTGCTCTATTGCAGGCGGATGTGGAGCTTGTGTAGTCCTTATAGCAACTTACAATCCAACAAAAGCTGAGGTCACTGAATTCTCTGCAAGTTCATGCCTGACTCTGCTCTACAACATAAATCTTTGCTCAGTCATCACCACCGAAGGCCTGGGAAATACGAAAGATGGCTTCCATTCTATCCAGAAGAGGATGTCTGGGTTCCATGCTTCCCAGTGTGGCTTCTGCACTCCTGGCATGTGCATGTCTATTTTCACCTCTCTTGCAAATGCCGACAAATCCAACAAGCCTGAACCACAAAAAGGGTTCTCAAAGCTGACGGTGTCCGAAGCGGAAAGGGCTTTCTCAGGCAACATGTGTAGATGTACCGGTTACAGGCCAATTGTCGACGCCTGCAAAAGTTTTGCTTCAGATGTCGACCTGGAGGATTTGGGCCTCAATGTATTCTGGAAGAAAGGCGATAAGCACGCCGATGTTAGCAAGTTGCCAGCTTACACTCTTGGCGGCGGAGTCTGCACTTTCCCGGACTTCCTGAAATCCGAGATAAAATCTTCGCTTCATCATCTAAATGATGATTCGGTTGTTACGGTCTCCAGCGAGGGTTGGTATCATCCTAAAAGCATCGAGCAATATTATGATTTACTGAACTCTGGCTTGTTCAGTGACTGCACAGTTAAAGTGGTTGTTGCGAACACAAGTTCTGGTGTAAAGGGATACAAGGATCAGGATCTATATAACAAGTATATTGACATCAGTGACATTCCAGAGCTTTCAGCTATTTGGAAGAAAGACAGTGGCATTGAAATTGGAGCAGCTACACCAATTTCTAAGACCATCGAGATACTTGAGCAAGAAGCCGGGTCTAAATCATGTGCAAATGGAAGTGTGGTTTTCAGAAAACTCACCGAGCACATGAGCAAGGTAGCTACACCGTTTGTCCGTAACACAGCAAGCATTGGCGGGAACATAATTCTAGCACAGAAATACCCTTTTCCATCGGACATCGCGACCATACTTCTCGGTGTTGCTTCAACTGTTCGTCTTCAGGTTTATTCAAAAACACTAGAGGTTACTTTGGAAGAGTTTCTGGAGCTGCCTCCTAGTGATCCCAGTACATTGCTCCTGAGCATATTTATTCCACATTGGGCTTCAGATTCTCAGAAAGAAAGTAAGGTGATCTTTGAAACTTACCGAGCAGCGCCGCGCCCTCTTGGCAATGCGGTTTCATATATTAACTCTGCAATGCTGGGCCATGTCTCCCAGAAATCATGTGGTGATCTTGTGCTGAGTAACCTACACATGGCCTTTGGTGCCTATGGGACCGAACATGCCATTAGAGCAACAAAAGTTGAACAACACCTGAATGGAAAAGTGCTCACTCCATCTGTTGTGCTTGAAGCAGTTCGGTTACTTAGAGAAACAATTGTACCAATGAAAGGAACATCACATCCTGAATACAGAGTCAGTGTGGCCGTTGGATTTCTCTTCAGTTTCCTGTCTCCATTTGCTAAAGGAATCAAAGGGCCTGGAAACACTCTGAGCATTAGTTCTGCTAGTTCTTCAAATACAGATGATCCCTGTAACCTTCCATTGTCTTCACGTCGAGAAACAATTTCCAGTGATGATCATAAACCAGTTGGTGAGCCGATTAAAAAGTACGCAGTTGAGCTTCAAACTTCTGGTATGTGTTTAATAAGCTTACATCATCAAAGTTATTAATGGGATCTAGAAGTTCTCTTCCTCTCCAAATTGTCCTTCCTTTATGATTACGTTTAGGCTTATAGAATTTCTTTTCTGTACTGCAGGGGAGGCAGTATATGTAGATGATATTCCTGCTCCAAAAAATTGCCTCTATGGAGAGTTTATTTACAGCACACAGCCTCTTGCATATGTCAAGAATATCAAATTCAAGCCATCTTTAGCATCAGAGAAGGTCCTCACGGTTGTTTCCGCGAAGGATATTCCAAGTGGAGGGCAAAATATTGGATCAAGCTTCTTGTTTGGGGATGAACCACTTTTTGGTTCTCCTGTCGCTGAGTATGCTGGGCAAGCCCTTGGTGTCGTGGTACTTATCTTTTCATATTTTTAATGTTTACTCAAAAATAAATTCTTTTATAATAAAGTCAAGTTATAAATGCGATTTTCTTCACTAGTCTCTGTAAAATAAGGTTGTTAATCTTAAGAAGAAGTTATTTTTAATTAGGAGGGTCAAATCTGTACACATTAAAATAATAAACCCTAGTATCACACATTGTCATCCAAAAGATATATCTATATATGTACATCCAAAATTTCATTTATAAAATACCCTAACAAAATCTATATTAGATTGGGTTAATTAAACGCTTACGGAAATTTTCTGTGGTGCGCTTGTATCTCCATTTCTTTCATAACAAAATTGCTTACTAAAAATCAACGTTAGTGGATATGCAAAAATACACTGTATTGATGTCACATTTTATCATATATGCTCGTATTCAGTTTAAACACCGAGAGTAACCTTTTTAAATTAAACTGATTAACAATTAGTGCCAATTTTCCCCTGGTTACAAGTAAGCATTAGCTAACTTTTGCCCTGGTCACAAACTTATTACAATGAGTTGTTATTGTGTATTCTTCAATACTGATACCATTAAAATGTGTACTTTACCTCAGATTGCAGAGACTCAGAGATATGCCAACTTGGCAGGCAAACAGGTCGTTGTTGAATATGACACAAAAGATTTGAAGCCACCAATCTTAACTGTAGAACAGGCAGTACAGAACAATAGTTATTTCGAAGTTCCTCCTGAGAGGTATCCAAAACAAGTTGGTGATTTTTCGAAGGGCATGGCGGAAGCTGATCACAAGATCCTCGCAACAGAAGTATGTTAATTCTACACACCGTGAGACCTTTCCATCCTGACATCTCACCTGCATTGCTCAAAAGTGAATGGAAGTTCTTATACTCCCTTCGTCTCAAAATAAGTGTCTCTCAACTTTGTACTAAAGTTAGTACAAAGTTGTACTAAGATTAAGACACTTATTTTGGGACGGAGGGAGTACTTAACAACGCAAACGTTTAAATTTGATTTTCGATGGTCTCTGTTTTCAACACCACATGGTATGCATTAATATGTATGACTTCGATGATCGCAGGTGAAACTTGCCTCTCAGTACTACTTCTATATGGAAACACAAACAGCATTGGCGATTCCAGATGAAGATAACACTCTTGTAGTCTACAGTTCATCACAATACCCTGAGCTTGCGCAGAGTGTCATAGCGAGGTGCCTCGGTATTCCATTCAGCAATGTGCGTGTCATTACAAGAAGGGTTGGAGGAGGCTTTGGTGGGAAGACATTCAGATCATACACTGTAAGTAAGAATCAAACAATCATGAACAGTAGTCCAACAGAGTGGCAACAAATTCAAAGCCTGTGTGTTACAACTGAAAGAATCTAACAGTACTTTTTTATGAATATTGCATTTTATGAATAATTTCTATTTTTATGGTAGATTAGAGTTCTAGTGATAGCTTCTAACATAAGTTTGCACATTTGAGCTTCATTTACCATTCATTCAGCTTCCAAGAAAGCCGAAATATTAACCATTTTCAGCTGTTGCTACTCAGTGATTCAACAATATATGCTTTTGCAGGTAGCAACGGCAGCTGCGCTTTGTGCCTTCAAGTTACGTCGTCCGGTGCGGATGTATCTCAACCGCAGTACTGACATGATCATGATCGGGGGTCGGCACCCAATAAAAGCATATTACACTGTTGGTTTCAAGTCCAATGGAAGAATCACAGCCTTGCACCTGGACATTCTGATCAACGCTGGGATTTCTCCAGATGCGAGCCCCCTAATTCCAGACTATATGATGTCAGGCTTGAAAAAATACAACTGGGGTGCTCTCTCGTTTGACATCAAGGTCTGTAAGACAAACAACACATCCAAGTCAACAATGCGTGCTCCTGGAGATACGCAGGGATCTTTTATCGCTGAAGCTATCATCGAGCATGTCGCTTCGGTGTTGTCGCTTGATGCTAATAATGTCAGGCAGAAGAATTTCCACACCTATGACAGTCTTGTGTTGTTCTATCCAGAAAGCGCAGGCGAAGCATCGACGTACACATTGCATTCTATTTTCAATAGATTACTCGCGACGTCAAGCTACCTGCATCGAGCTGAATCCATCAAGCATTTTAACAACCGCAACAAGTGGCGGAAGAGGGGTATCTCTTGTGTGCCCCTCATCTTCAAGGTGGCACCAAGGCCAGCTCCTGGAAGAGTTTCTGTGCTCAACGATGGTTCCATTGTGGTTGAGGTTGGAGGTATTGAAGTTGGGCAGGGACTGTGGACCAAAGTACAGCAGATGACGGTTTTCGCGTTGGGACAGTTATGGCCTGATGGATCTGAATGCCTTCTTGATAGGGTGCGTCTTCTTCAGGCTGACACGCTGAACTTGATCCAAGGCGGACTCACTGCTGGCAGCACTTCGTCTGAATCTAGCTGTGCAGCAACCCTTGAGGCCTGCAACATGCTGGTTGACAGATTAAAGCCGGTCATGAAGAAGCTCAAGCAGCAATCTGGTGGTGCTGTTTCATGGGATGCTTTGATTGCTCAGGTTATTTTTTTTTATTTCCCTCTGGATTTTTATGGTACATAAGAGTAAAATATTTGTGTGGAATTGTTTATCTTTATACGTGCTAACACTTTCCCAAATAGGCCATTAAGGATAATGTTAATTTGTCCTCAAGTGCATACTGGGTACCTGGCCAAGAATCCAGCACCTATCTGAACTATGGAGCTGGTATAAGTGAGGTACAAAAATATTATGCTTAATTTTAATCACACTAGCATAGTTCAATTGTTACTGGATGATATTGTGATGGTTTCCTGACTTTCATTTCACTTTTTACTAAAAATCCAGGTAGAGATTGATGTTCTTACAGGAGCTATTACTTTACTACGGAGCGACCTTGTGTATGACTGTGGAAAGAGTTTGAACCCTGCAGTGGACTTGGGCCAGGTTTGAGATATTTTCCACTGCGCTATGCTCTTCTTTTATCATTTTGTAGTGAAAACGGATATTATTTGATAATGCCTTACATCAAAACAGAGCGAGTACATTACATTGCAGCCCCGATCAGAGTCTTTCTTCATTATAGTGCATGATGGTATCGTATATTCATATCTGATCTCAACCATCCACCTTACAGATTGAAGGCTCCTTCATACAAGGAATTGGTTTCTTCATAAACGAAGAACACGAAACAAATGCCGATGGCCTGGTTGTGAGTGACAGCACATGGGTCTACAAGATCCCGAGCGTAGACACTATCCCGAAGCAGTTCAACGCCGAGGTGCTCAACAGTGGGTACCATAAGAACCGCGTTCTTTCATCGAAAGGTATGTAGTAGGATTGTGCTTTCCCTGAACTGAAGCAACATGAATATAGTTTTACTTTTTTTGCGAGCTGAAAATTATCAGTAGTTGAAAGTGATTTAACTAGTCTGCCTCTGCCAGCCTCTGGGGAACCTGCCCTGGTTCTCGCAGCATCGGTCCATTGTGCGGTGAGAGAAGCCATCAGGGCAGCGAGGAAGGAGTTTGGAAGCTCAGAGCTCACGTTCCAGCTCGACGTCCCTGCCCCAATGACCCATGTGAAGGAAATGTGTGGTTTGGACGTTGTGGATAAGTACCTAGAAAGCCTATCTGAACATCAGTCTCGAGCTGCGGCGTGATGCAAGATTCCGGTGCCGTCAACCGGAAGGAGCGGTGTGGTGTGATGGATCGTGTTGTGCAACGTCGAATGGTAAATTGCGGACATGATGTTTGAAACGTTTGTAATTTTTCAGTGCTGTGCTTGCACGCTTTTCAAATAATCCTGGGTTGAGATCTGTGTTTGTAATTCCTGACTGAACCTGAAGTCAGGTTTTCTCTTTAAAATGCACGTTTTATAAATAGTAATACGCGTTTGCTATTTGCAAGATGCAACTTGCATCAGTCAACTTGGGAAGAGAAGATGGCGGGCTGCGGCTCGTTGGTGATGCTGGGCAGGGAGCGACCTGGAGCAGGGGACGACGTGGGAGGCTCGCCAGTGCTGGAGAGGAAGCTTGGGGAAGGCGCGCGCAGCAGCATGTGTAGGTGGTAGGCGGTTGAGCTAGCGTTGGAAGGCGGCTCGATATGAGGAACGGCGAAGGTGGCGTGGTGGCCGGTGGTTCAGCTGGCATTGGAGGGCAGCTCCATGTGAGGAGGAAGGAGAAGACGCTGACAAGAAGATAAGTATCAAGTAACACGATTTGAGTTTTCAATCAAGTGTAGCATAGAGGGCCCCACGGTAATCTAGGAAGAGGAAAGAGACCTTTTTTTTTAGCAACAGACGAGGGCGCCAGAATTCAGCTCAACAGCATAATAGTACAACGTTTATTACAATGCCCTGCAGTGGAGCAGCAGACTGAAGAGCAAGCAGAACAGGACAACAGTTTGAGGAATGAGCTGACTTAGAGCATACGTAGATAGATTGGTCAAGGTGTTGCCTTAGAACCTGTTTTGCACAGTTGTGTGCCACACCATTGAGCTCCCTTTTGATATGAAATAAATGCATTAAAGTTGTACAAGTGGCTTGGAGAAATTTTCCAATTGTATCTCTAGTGTCAATGCATCAGGCCGGCGCTTGGAATCGGTGTATTCAAATACACACGTATTTTATCTACATGTGTAACCTACCGGGCTAGTAGCCATTTCCGCCTGCAAGCGAAACAACGGCCGGAGGCATGTATTGTTTACAGGTGTAATGGCTAAGCGAAACGACAATCCAAACAATGCCTCAGTGGACGGTCCAACTTCCTGGCGACCGCCACCGTCGCGAGAACCTGGCAGTAAGGAAAGTTGGGCACTGAATCTGAAGAATATGTTGCTGAATATATGAGCAAGTTACTATGAGATTTAATCCGAATAAGCATAAAATAAATCATGACAGCTATAACAAAGATTAAACTAATCATGTGGACTAGCACAATTTTTTTT